GATTTTGCATACCTAATTAACAAACTTGACATTTTAGTTCTTTTTCCACATAACTCTGCCCCTAATTTGCACAAATCCAAAGTGAATTCAGATTCTATTCCAAGTGTGCTATCCTAGCAAAAGAAGATTTAATTTCTGACTTGACTGTGCCTAGATATGACTTTTACCCAAAAATGCTTACAGGGCATAAGCTAAGCTCTGTAAGCCAATTTGATTTCCATGTATTGTTCTGTTTCATGACAGTTTGAACCTTTAATTAGTTTTAGAAGCTATTGTTAATAATCGTGAATGTTCCTGGTCATTGTGGATTCATTTTTATAGCTGTAACCATGAGTAATTTGTTTTCTTTGACATTTTGGTCAATAAAGTATACTCTACTATTTTTGTCCAAGATTGTTTAAAACTTTTGAAAATTTTAAACGGGAAGAGAAAAAAAAACGCCACAAAGTATGTGACAAAGTGCTTCTCCTCGCCATTTATGTGCACTTCAATTCAATGGCCTCTTTCATATCTTTGCAACAATACAATACCCAATTTTATTATACTTTTTTATCTATTTTTTTTTCTCTCTTCTTTATTTTCTATTACTTTCTTACATACTACTAAACATATCACAAAAAAAATTGAATGAAAACATTTCATATATGTTTTTAACTTAAATTTATTTTTAATCTCTATAATTTTATGATCATATAATTTTAGTATTCAAAATTTTTTATCACAAATTTAGTCTTTCTAAATTTTAAAATTTAGTGTTGAACCACTCATTAACATATCATCTAAAATTAAACAGAAAATATTAAAATACTCATAAATAACATGTTTAGTAATTTTTTAGTGACGTTAATTTTTATATAAAGAAAAATATTACTTTTTACTAAATATATATAAAGTTTTTTTTATTTCGATTAAAATTTATAATTCGGGAAATCAGGAAAGAAATTTTAGCTTGTAATCAGGGAAATCTGGAAACAAATCATTACTTGTAAATACTATATAAAGTTGTACATATCACCAGAATAAGATAGTTGAAGTTATTTTCACAAAAACTCCTTAATATCGTTTTCCACAGTATAGATATACGTTGTTTCGATTTCCCTTCAAACATCGAGCAATATACATCTCTTCATGAAACAACATGTTACTTCATCATTCTCTTCCCCAAGACCGGGGAACTTTCCTTCAAATATTAAACAACAGAAATGTTTGAGCACCCGAATACACCTTCTGAAATATCATTCGACCTTTAAAATGATAATAAAATATTATTTGATTTTAACTTTTTAGAATTTTTACTTCTTCCAAATTTACCCTTCACCCTTTCTTATATCAGATATTTTTTATACCTCTTTTTGTTCTTTCCCACTACAACAAAATTTAGTATTATCGACAATTATTTAATGACAATAAATTAATTACCTCTATTTTATTATTTAATAAAAATATTAATTATTATATAATGGTCACTAAAAATATATTTATATTATATCAAAATTTACTATTAGCGATAATTCTATTTGTATAGGTAGTGGGCATTTTCTTTTGGGTTGTTATACGAAGCAGAACGGGCTGTTCTGCTGGCATTTTTTTTTTGTTACTTTTTTACGTCGGATGTCATAATGTCCGACGTAAATTTACGTCAGTTTTGCAGATCCGACGTGAAATTTACGTCTCTCGCTTTTACGTCGGTATTTTTTCTGATGTAAAAAGCTCAAAATATCCGACGTAGTACACCTATTTTGTACTAATGATAACGAAACATGTTCAGAATGACTACACTACATTAGGCTAGATTATGCTATGTTACGCTACTCCTAAAAAAGGAAAAAGAAAGGTGGTCGAGAAATCGTACCCAAAGCTGTCTCGTATGCACAGTATGCGGAGTGCGTGTGAGGTATTGTGGGAATTAGATTTCTGACCTTCTGCTACGAGCATGACTCGTTTAATTTATAGACAAAGATTTGGGAAAGGTAAATGTTTTTGACGTGCCCCGGAAGTGCATAACCGTTCTAAACTTCCACATCATGGCTTATTCCCGGGCACGTCTTTGGATAACTCTTGGAACTGCTCATTAACTTCCCCAAACCGTTCAGCAGCCTTTGACACTTATCCCATGATTTACTTCAACCGCTCTCACTACTAGAAAAATGGAAATTAGAGACGGAAAAAATCCGTCACAAAATTGGGATTTCGAGTAACCAACGAAAAATATACTCGAGTGTTTCCTGATTTTTCTTGTTGAGAGGTTGCAAGGCTATGAGCCTTTCTCCTGAGCAGCGTCCTTCCTAGTTCAATGATTTCGAGAGTTTCACGAAAAGTGTCTTCGTGTCCTTCCTAGTTCAATGATTTCGAGAGTTTCACGAAAAGTGTCTTCGTGTATCTCTTGATTTTATTCAGGCTTCGTATGCCTTCTTCAAAAACTTCTTTGTCATTTTCCGATCACCTAAGATTTTGAATACCTCTGTATTTCGAGTGCCTCCGAATTCATTTTCTGATACTAACAAATGCCCGTAAATATTTTAGCGACACTGCATACAATGGCTAATGTGTGAAATGCCGGTAAAATATTTTGTAGCAATTTTTATTGCCACTAAAAATCATATTAAATGCCACTAAAAGTCCATTTTATTGTAGTAGATGATAATAATAAAATTCAAATTTTTAAAAGAAAACGATAATAACGAGACTTGGTTACCAAAAAAAAAATGAAGTTTGTTTTATCTCCCAAAAATATAGCAATAACATGCTCTATATATGCACGGTTACATAGAAGCATGCACACTTCTTCCTAAGTAAATTCTTCAAATGTTTTAATTTGATAGAAATATAACACACAAAATGTATAATACCGTCATATATATATATGAGCAGAGTGGGTTTAGTCTAAAACTTTGGTTTATGAGCTCCGGCTTCAGTATCCTCTGCAAGAGGTAAAAGACATGACCTTCATTCAAGAGCACCAGGCAATTAGTATATTTGCAGCAGTGCTGGCCGGGGCCAGAGTACGGATTGGAGGGAGTAAAACCAAATTTTAAATTTTTTTAGAAAGATCAAAAATATATTTTTCTAAGAAACAAATATTTAAATCATCAAAATCAATAAAAAAAATAATTAAATTAATTAGTTAAAATTAATTATGTCATAATTTAAAATCTTATTTCCAAATACCGAGATGTGCAGGTGATAATTATATTTAACAACACTATTCAAAATTAGAAAATAATTTTTTTCAATCTTGAGTGTGACTTATAAATATATTTGTAATACCTTAGTTTTCAAAAGATAAATAAAACAATGTTTTAGAAAAATAATTAAAAGAGTTGTTAAAATGAGAAGGGCTTTTGAAAATAATGATAACTAGACATAGAATCACCTATTGGATGATTTATCGAAATTCATAATTTTTATCATATTTTAATAATTTAGTATTATCGACAATTATTTAATGACAATAAATTAATTACCTCTATTTTATTATTTAATAAAAATATTAATTATTATATAATGGTCACTAAAAATATATTTATATTATATCAAAATTTACTATTAGCGATAATTATTTGTTAGAAAAAAACTTAAGTCTCACATCAACTATAAATAAAATAATTAAAGAGTATATAAGTGAATGATAACTCTCACCTTACAAGTATGTTTTATAAGGTTGAGTTAGGCCTATAACTTACTATTCTAAGTTGGTATTTAGGAGATAAGATAATTAAAAAATTAAAGAATATATACTTAGAAAATAACTTTTATCTTCTAAGTCTCACGTCAATTAAAAATAAGGTAACTAAAGTGTATTTGTATTCATCTTACAAGTCTTACATCGACTAGAAATAAGATGAATAAAGAATATTATAAATACTTTCTTAAATTTTAGAGGCAATTTTAAATGCCAGTAACAAGTGACACAAAAAATTATACGTTTTTCCCGACCATTATGAGGGTCTTTACCAGCATATAGAATAATTGTCGGTAAATATTTTAGCGACACTGCATACAATGGCTAATGTGTGAAATGCCGGTAAAATATTTTGTAGCAATTTTTATTGCCACTAAAAATCATATTAAATGCCACTAAAAGTCCATTTTATTGTAGTAGATGATAATAATAAAATTCAAATTTTTAAAAGAAAACGATAATAACGAGACTTGAATAATGGAGAAGAGATAATGATAAATATATAACAATAGAATTGAAATGCGATGGTTCTGGTTGCTTTCTTTTCTCATAATAGTATTATATAATTTTTTTCATCTTTTAATGTGATGGTCATTAAAATGATATAATATTTGATATTATATTTGTTGTATGATATTACATGTGATATTATATCACACATTGCTCTTTGAAGGTCTTATGCTCAATGTGACAAGTTTATGCTTGGCGAAATAATACTAGTAAGTCCCCAAATGGACAATCCCATGCTCTATGTGTGAGCCATAGAAAGTCATCTATATGCTCTCTATCATCCTCACGTTCGATGCTACACAACTTGTGCCAACGCGATACTAATTCATGAAAACCTACACAAAAATCCAAAAATTGAATAAGTGATCTCAAACTCTAAAACATTCAATCCAATTGCTTAAGTGAGTTGGCACAAAAAATACCCATTTAAAATATTATAAAATTAAAGTTTAAGAGAATAGACAAATAATTTCTTTTTCAATGTTACTCATAAAGATTAGAGAAAGTGTAAGTGATATTCTTGAAATCACAGATCCTTCAATGTTTTTTATTTGTACTTGTGATTGAATTCCTTAGTCATGAATGATTAAGTTCTCGATTGTTAGAGGTTGATGTAGTTGCTCGACTCCATGTAATCTATTTTGTTCTTCTCCGATAAATGTATTTATTCAGTCATTTGATTTTACTCTTCTCTTAATATTTGGTATAGTCTAGTCATCCATTGCAAGATTTCATAATTTTATCTGAGGTTGAGAAACCTTTTTAAGAACATGATCTGAATAAAAAAAAACTTTAAAAAGACATAAGATCACTCGAAAACAAAAGAGGCTTTATTCAAGCAAGATCCATGACATGGGATGAAAGAAGCACACACGTGCACACAACATAAGAGAAACCATAGGTGACAAGTGACTTATTGATTACATACATTGCCAAGAGTGCTACTTAGGAACCCAACACCACTTGTGAACCCATGGCTCCAATCCCATCTAGCTACCAACATAGGGTAACGCACCATGCAACGCCTTGGAGACACACTCGTAGATCGCATCCGTAACGGATGTCACAGATAGTAACGGCGATTTCAGCACATGGGACAGCACGTTCCCACTGTAATCGCTTTGACGATCACTTTGTCTGTCCCACAACGCCACCCCTTCGTAGTTTGATGCTTTCTTCGCATGCGGCAGCACGTGACTGTTCAGCACGTGCGGCGGAATGTAGCCGCTTCCGGCACGCGCGGGGAGGCCCAGGAAGAGCGAGTTGTTGGGGAGGACCGAGTCCACCCACTTGTCCCACGTGTCCAACACTGGCTTCACGTCGCCATTGGAATAGGTGCAAAGAGGGTTGTTGCGGAACTGGACGAAGATGTATTCGAAGAGATTCGTTGCAATGGCTTTACCGAGAAAGGGGGTGGGGATTTGGCACTGGGGGGTTGCGGATAGGAAAAAGTAATGGCCTTTTGTGCGACGAAGAGTGTCGAGTTCCTTGGCAAGGTTGTCCCAGTGTTCCTCTGATTTTTCGATGTCGAAGCTGATGCCGTTTAAGGTGACGCGACCCAGAGGACCGTACTGGGCGCTGAGGAAGTTGGTGTGGAGGTAGTTGGCGACATTTTTTGCGTCTTCAGCAGAGGTGAGAGAGTAGTCTGAATTGTCGCTGGGTCCTCCTATGGAAAGAAGCACTCTGATGCCTTTGGCCTAAAAACAATTAACATGCAACAAAATTGGATGGCATAAAACTCTCACTAGCTTTTATGCTAAATGTACCTAAAATCTCATCATCAAGCAGAAAAAAGTTGAAGATCTCATCCAAAGAAAGTCGACATCTAAATGATGAGAACACTAAAATCTTAATAATAATAATAATAATAATAAATATAAAATAAAATAATAATAATAATAATACTTTTATTTATTAATTTTTATACTAAATAATCTCTTAAAAATCTTTTTTAACTAATACCCTTATTTTGTCTTCATTTCTTATTTACTTGAATTACAAATTTATATATTTAATTAATTAAAAAGAAAGGAGTAGGAAGAGTTAGCTGTTAGCTTCGTGTTGGGTCCGGATCTACCTGACAGTGTTTTATTTCAGATTCTAGTTCAGTGCACCTTCTGGAGACACCATTGTCACAGTGGCCAGCGAGGTTCAAAGTTGGGGTTCTGCCTGCACCGAAGTTGTGGAGGAAAGAGAGGACAACAACCGCGTACTTTCCAGTGTCGCATGTTGTTGTCAAATCTCCTTCGCCACTATCTTGGCCCCAGTACACGGCGATTCCACCGTTGTCGGGGTGTGCGGAGGAGAATGTGAAAAGGGATAGTAACAAAAATATTATCAAAGCTTGCCTTCTGTATGCCATGGTTGTGTTTTAGGTTTATGAATGCAAGAGAATGAGAAGCAACGTATTATAGGTAGATGTAGATCAGGAATGCATCAATATTCTATTCGACAATAACTGAGCTACATTTCTTTAGGTCTAATTTATATAGTTCTCCAATCAAAATTAATTGTATTTAATTTTTTTTATTTGATTTTTTTTGAAAAATTAGGGAAATTTGAAGAAAATTGTGCATTTCAAGTTCTATTTTTTTTTCTTTTGTTTTTATATATAGACAAAAAAAATTTATAGAATGTGAAAAATGTAAGTTAAATTACTCTTTTTGATTTTTTTTATTTAGTTGGTTTAATTTAGTATTTTTATTATTATGAAAATGCCCGGTAGTGAATACAACCGTAAATACTTTAGGTAAATATGGATTTAATGTTTCTTTTCTTCATATTATATATCACATTTTTAATTATTTTAAAGTACTTCTCACTTTTAAAATGAAAAGTTGTATCTCACCTAAATATTCGATTGCATTTACAATTATTACTTAATTCTTTTAATAAAGGTGTTTTTCTAATCAGATTTTTAAAATATTGATAACACGTGGTAAGATATGAAAATTTTAAAATGTTTTTGTATTCACAGTAGTTTTATGGCGGGACTATGTTAATTTTGAATTCAGTGTTTCAAATAAAAGAAAATCGACTAGAATCAATATTGTTTTTTCTTTAATATGTAAAAGTCTTATCTAGAATTTGAGTATTCCTCCCCTAATTATAAATGATTTGTATATGTTCGAACAGTTAAGTAGTCTCTGTCCTTTCGAAAATTATTATGAAGTAGTTACGTCCTCTAATTATGAACTCATTCAAAATTTATTGATTTTATACAAATTTTTAAATACGTTAAAAATAAGACTACAAAGTTGACATAAATAGTGTTTAAGGAAATGAGTTATTGTTGGAGTTTTATGAGCTAAATTTCTTTCCAAAAAAAATTAATTTTCATTAAAAGTTTCAATGAGTGAAAAAATTTCTTTTTTACGAATATTCATACACTATCAAGAACTACATTAATGGTGTGTGTAGATGAGAGATTTTACAAATTTAAGGGATTTTAAATTCTTGGTATTTGAATTATTTTGATTTCAATTTCTATCATTCTTAAAATATTTTTTTGAATAAGTCAATTTGAATTTCTTGAATTTTAAATTGTTAAGTTGATATAATAATTTAATTCTACCATGGTAAAATTGATTTTAAAAATATATTTATATGTTGAGATTTTTGAATTAAATTTTATAAAATAAATATTAGCTAATTTTTAAATATTAATAATTTTAAATTTTAATATTAGATAATATTTAATAATTTTAGAAATATTTTTGAATATTCAATAATTAAAAACATGAAGAGATAAGAGATAAGAAAAAATATATAAGTGAAATAAGAAGAAAAAAATATTAAGAATTTCAAATTCTTACTTTTTTGAGAGAATTTGAAATTTTACTATTCTAAGGAATTTCACAAATGCTTGAATTTCAAATTCTTTATAAATTCTCCATCTAAACAAAGCATTTCATCTCAAGGAATTTGAAAATTTTCAAATAAATGAATTATCCTATATAAATTCCCCGTCTAAACACACCATAAAGGTTTAAGATTTTACCTTTAAAGCATCCTTTAAGATTTCCATTGAATAATCTTTTGTAACATGACAATCTATCTTTGATCACCAAGCACCAAAAGTACAATATTTCTACTGAATCCACATAAGTAACACTAGAATTGTAAGGAACAACTGATTGAAGAATAAGTATCATGAGACGATCAGAAAACCCGGTCCGACCGGCCGGTTCGGTCCGGTTTTTTAAACACTGCATTGAATAATCTTTTATAACATGACAATCTATCTTTAATCACCAAGCACCAAAAGTACAATATTTCTACTGAATCCACACAAGTAACACTAGAATAAAGTTTGGTGCTAGCTACAACTAGAATAGGTTCTTGAGATGACACAAAACCTCAATTTTTACATTATTTGCAAAGTTAGGTTAGCGTGTCTTTTTATAAGCTATTGTTTAACTTAATTTGCTTATTTATTGGAATTATACAATACAAACAAAAATCATCTATCTAATTTAATTAAATCATATTTAATTAAATATAATATCATTTAATTAAATCATATTTAATTAACTAACTATTAAATTAAATCTCATTTAATTTAATTACTTACTCCATGTTTTTATTATATATGTGAGACCTATAGGTTTTCACTTAATTGAAAATAATATTTAAATATTATATAAAATATAATATTAAATATTATAAAAAAATATATTAAAATCTAATAATATATTATTATCACCTAATTAATGAGAAAATTTGATAATTCAATTTCAACCTTTCAGAATCATAAATACTATAATTTTTTATCCCTTCGCCCATATGTTCTTGATTGAACACAAAATATAAAAATTTTATTCTCGTTAAAACATATGTTTCTCAATATCGTTCAGTCAGACAAAAGGGATGCGAACAAGATCCTTCATGAGATACAGAGTAAGATGATGAAAACGATAGACTAAAAGAAAGTATTTGATTACTATTCCATAAATTCTACTTTTAAAGAGCTTAAAAAAAAGTTACTAGAAAGTTAAAAATAAAATATTTTCTTCTTTATTTTCGTTGTGTTGACTGTGGTTTTTACTGTGGTCTTCCTCTCTTGTACTATAACCAAATAATATCGATCTCTATTTCTACTCTCATCACTCAACTTTTCACCAAACTATAGTTCACCTATCAAGCAACATGTTAGAATTTAAATATATATGTTAAGAGAAAGAAGGAAAAGATGATATAGAATGAACATTTTTAAATTTATTCTTCTTCAATCACTTATGTTTTTTTTAAAATTCTTTGTCTTTCCTCGCAAGATACGAGGCTCATTGATATATCTTTCTCTTAAAACATTACCAAATTTGTTGGGAGTATTTGTTGAATATTGAACTCTTTCATAAAGTGTCATATTTTGAAAATACTTTGAGAGATCTACTCATTATATAAATCTATTAAAGAAAATTATAATAATAATTAGTAATAATTTATAAAACATATAATAAAATAAGAACTTTTAAAATTGTAAAATTATTTTAATCCATCTAGTTACTACGTGTGAATTAACAATAGTATCTAATATCTTCATTACATGACATTTATACTTATATATTGGTTGTTTATGAGGCTACAAAAATAATATAAAAATAATTTCAATAGTAATAATAATTCAAAAAAATATTAAACACCACTGTAAAAATCATTCTAAAGACAATTTTATAGTGACAATTAAAAGAGTATGTGAAGGAGAAAGTGAAAAAAGAATTACTTCTTGTATTGATAATCTACAAATACACAGATAGCAAGGCTATATATACAAGAGCTTAGACTTCTAATAGAAAAACTAATCCTAATAGGACAATCCTAACAAAAGCTAATTAACAGAAATATTAAAAATAGAATAATAGATAATAGAACAACAAACTACTAACTACTCTATTCCTATATTTCCTTTCTCTACTTTCTCTAATACCCCCAGTGCAAGTTGGAGAGTATATATTCAGAACTCCCAGCTTGGATAAAAGATAGTTAAAAGAAGTAGGTTCAAAGGGTTTAGTAAGGATGTGTCAGCCAATTGTTTAGTGAAGTGGATGGGTAGTAAATGAAACAATCTTGCTTAAAGATTTTCCCAAACAATGTGGCAATCAAGCTCAATGTGTTTGGTGTGCTCATGGAAGATAGGGTTAGTAGTAATATGTATAACGAATTGATTATCACAATACAAGAAAGCAAGGGAAGTAAAAAGAATGACAAAGTCATCGAGAAGATAAGTAAGTCATTGAATCTCACAAACTGTGGTGGCTGGCTAATGCACGATATTCAGCTTTGGATGAAGACCTGGAGATGGTGGACTATTTCTTGCATTTCCATGAAATCAATAAATCTCCAAGGAAAATGCAGTAACCAGAAACATAACAGCGAGAAGTTAGGCAAGAACCATAATCCAAGTCATTAAAAGCCTTCAGTTGTAATGTAGATTGCACAGGGTAGAAGAGACCTTAACCAGGATTCCCTTTGAGATAGCAAAGAACACAGGTAGCTTCCATGTAATGAGTAGTGGAGGGAGAAAAATTGTGTTGACATAATTGTTGCACAACAAATGAAATATCTGGTCTAGTTGTTGTAACACCCCAGCAACCCGCATGTGGATATTGTCCGCTTTGGCCGCAGCCCTCACGGTTTTGCTTCTGGCAATGGCACGCATGCCACCCCAAAACGCGTCCACACAAGGAAGGTATCCACACCCATATATATGGCATGCTTCGTTCTCCTTCCTAACCGATGTGGGACTTC